CCTTCTGGAAGTAAATGGGGGGAATAAATTAGAAACACTGTGGCTCAGATCATATGCAATTTGTGGAGTTTAATAGCTAGATTCCTGCCCCGGGCCCCACCCTAGCTAGAGAGCAGTCCTTTAGCAGTTCGAGGTTCATCCTAGGAAACAAAGTTCAGGGCCTGTCCTTCCAGATGTCCAACATGACAATGCCACCAGGTCCCAGAATCCCTTCCTGGCTCTATAATTTCCACATCCCCTTCTCCTACTCTTCTCCCAACAACCAGTCTTTGCATTTAACACTTAGCAACAAATTGCTAACTTAGCAATTAGCCCTAACTATCCTGGGCTAATCTTTGAGCACAGGAGCACACGTTAGTATCTCTCTGTTATTCTTCCTAAGAAAACCATGTAGCACTGTGCCATTATGACACACAATGAAGGAAGCTTAGACAGTGGGAATAATGCTAATACATCTTCCAAGAGACCTTCTTTATTCAAAGGATTTATATACATTGTTAAAATTTCAAGAACTGAGTCAAGTCAGTCAGATTAAATTCCAGCCAAGGGAACCTTTCAGTTGCCTTCAGTAAACACTACAGAGGCTGGTTCCGAAACTACCACTCTACCACTTTCTACCATCTGTAATGCTTCCCCTCACCATTTTACTTTTTCTTTCTTTAAAATGCCTTCCCAGTCTATTATTCAATCTATTTATTTCATATTTTACCCAACTTTGACTTATTTCTGGAACAGTTAAAGAAACTGCATGATCTTCAGGTTTTAGTTACAGTGAGGGGGATAGAGGGGACCAGAAAAAGAAAATCTGACTCTAGTCTTAAGTAACAGGATTTGAGTCCAGTTGCTTATTTTAGCACCTTCATGGATAAAGAAATTGCTATGAACTGAGATCCTGAACTCTATTATAAATTATATAGCAATGAAGTTGTACAGATTTGCTAAAACACTCCCATGATTGCTAGTTTCTGGAGCTATAAAATGGGTATAACAATGTTTATCAATTTAAATCAAACAGGAGAACTCATAAAAACAACACTGGATACAGGGGGTTGGGGGAAAACATATCCATAAGCTTCCTGACAATATTTTCAACATTGCTATAGGCACTCACACCCACATTCTCCTGTATCATTACAAAAACTAGCTAAAGCTAATAAAAATATTTGCCATCTTACTTCACAGAAAAAGAAAACTAAATGGAATTGTGAGACAGTGACAAAAGCACTTTTGGAAATAAATTAAGAATAAGCAACATGGAATGCCCGGGTATCTCAGTGGTCGTCTGCCATCGGCCCAGGGCGTAACCCTGGGGTCCTGGGATTGAGTCCTGCATCGGACTCCCTGTATAGGACCTGCTTCTCCCTCTGCCTAGGTCTCTGCCTCTCTCTCTCTCTGTCTCTCATGAATAATTAAAATTTAAAAAAAAAAGAAACAACATATATGCATTCATCTCTTAAAGATGTTAAATACATTCTTCAGAGCAGAGTCCCCCAGAACTATGGTTCCCAGCCTTATTTGGTTCAGTAACCATTCCAACAACCTCTAGCAATCCATCCTACTACCAATTCTCACAGGAGAAAAAGGGAAAAAAAGTTGTTCTCCCTGCCCTATCCAAGTGGGTCACCGCTGCTTTTCTCTTTGTTCAGCCTTTCCAACAGAGGTTTGCCAAATTCTGACATGGTTCACTGCATATTTTAAATGTTGGAAGTGGTTATGGCCAAAGAAGGTCAGAGAACACGGCTACTGAGCAGGGGTGGGGATGTGCCCGGCAAAGACACAGGCTGAGATTTAGGTCACCTCTGGGGAGATGATACACATTTACTGGGTACTTACTGTTTATTGGTATTCATGTTTTTCTATGGTCTTTTTTAATGTTCTAAATTAAAAGCAGTATTTTAAACATCTTAAAGGTGATTTGCAATTTTTTTAAAATAAAAATGATCCAATCATCCTATAAACAGCAGAACTGCCATCTTCTGTAAATAGACCTGGCAAGCATTTCATCAGTCTTAAAATATCACCTCCCCTGATTTCCCACCACCCTCCCACCGATGCCTCCCTTTCTTTCTCTGAGTTCCTTAAAGCAACACTCCAGAACGCTCAAGAGGACCTGTGTGTCCCATGTTAGTGCTAAAGACACTGGCAAAAACCAGCGTGGGGAGGTACCCGAGGCTTACTGTTGTTCATGGGCTGTCAGGAATGCTGCTGGACTTCTTAGTTTTCTTTTATTCTCCCTGGCTTATAGAATAAGGGTACTAGAACTTTAGATAATGGATAAAACAGCAAAATTTGAACAACAGGTAACATTGTAAGCTTCAGAACTCACCTAGATTATCCTATTTTCCTGAACACAAGACAAGCAGGAGCTGTCTTACTAAGCAGGGCTTTCCTGCATAACAAGCCTCAAAAAAGAGGGGAGGAAATAAAATAATGGAATATTCTGATGCTTGAGTAAAATCCTGACTAATTTTACTTTGCCATAATTGGCATAATCCCTGCTTATAGAAGCCCTCAACTTCGACTTTGAGCAATTCTCAAAAAAGGTACTTCCACCCTCTCACCATCTGCATGGGCAGTCAATGGAATTCTGAAATACAAACAGCCACTTGGAGGTTTAATTATATTGGTGAGGTGCCTCGAAGATGCTCAAAGATTAAGAATCCCGGTTTCCTATGCGTGGTACAGCCATCTTTCTTGTGGTGAAACAATTTCAATCCACCCATACTCCCATAGGTATACAGCTATAAAGCAGTGACTAGTAGTTGTCTACAAGTGCAAATTTCTCCTTTCTTCCATAAGACAACTTTGATTCTCAGCCAAGCACTATCCTGCCTGGAATAAATATTGTATTTGCTAGGTTCCCTGTGACAGATGTGGCCACATGACCAAGTTCCAGTCAGTATTATGTAACAGAAGTTTGTGGTGTTATCTGTCTGCAAAGGATGCTTAAAAGTGAGGGGTCACCTTCTGCTGCCTAGGATACGGAGTTTATAATGAGCTCCAGGGCTACCTTGGACAACAAAGTGACAAATCTTGAGTACAGAAGCCAAATGCTGATAATGGACAGCAAAGACCTGAGCCTGGGTCCCTGAGGATACCCAGTGAGCCACCAGGTTACCCCTCATCTACCTACCCCAGATTTTTTTTTTAACACAAAAGAGAGAAAAGCATCCAACTTATTAAATCTCTGGTATCCAGTGTAAAGCAGTTTGATTTATGGCAACTGCACAAAATGTTAACTGACATGCTTAACATACAGTCTAAGGAGCCTGCATGCTCTGGATAAGAAATGTAACTTCCTTCCTCTGCAGAAATTTTTTCACTCACCTACAGATAATATAGCCAAAGAGAACCCATAAGAAAATACTAGCCTAACATCATTCCCACAAGAGCAAAGGGCTGAGATCAGCCCTGCCTTTGCCCACTGTCACCAACCCCTGGTAGACATGCCTACCACTTGAAACCTCATTAAAACAGCACCCTAGGTTTATGATGTAGCCCACCACCCATAAGACACTGGGCCGATGCCACCAACTTCATCATTCAGGCCCCACCCAGGGGACCTGTAGTGTAGCTGTGGCATCAATGCACACATCTGCTAACCTCTTGTTTCACCATTGTGACCAATAATAATACATTATACGGGCTATAATTGTATCCTGGGATGGTGCCTTCAGATTTTGCAAGTCCTCATGAGTACAAGAAGATCCTAAATATAAAACAATATTAGTAATAGTGCTAGCAATAAATATCACCTATTGTTCAACACCATGTGACTGCTGGTGTACCATTTGGCAAGCACTCTGCCCGAAACATATTATCTGGAATTCAAAATATTATTATCCTTATTTTACAGAGGAGGAAACCAAGGCTCTGAGAGATAATGAATTTAGCTGAGACTATGCAGCCAACTCATGGCAGTGGTTCTTGCTGAATCCAGAATTGTCTAAGAGCTTAAAACTATTTTAGCAGCATAATCATTCCTCTTTAAATGTTAGATAAAATAATCTCAAGAAAATCTGTTTTTCTCACTTCAGAACTACACTAAAACATTCTAATCTTGCCCCCATTTTACATTAACATGAGCATTTCTTAAAACAAAGCAAAAGAAGAAACAAACAAAAAGTCTGATAGAATTTGTCCACAAATGGTAAACAGTGCTAGAATACAAATGAAACAAATCACAAAAGTGTTGGTTGGTTTTTTTTTGTTTGTTTTTTTGTTTTTGTTTTTGTTTTTTTTTTTTGTTTCTTTTTCTTCTGAATTTCACCTCTGCTAACAGGTTCAATTTCAGGGTGACCTCCATGTTTTCATAATAAGGGTCACTATGCACCTTTTAATCCCAAAACATCAAAACATCAAAACTAAAATGAAACCCCTATAAGAACATGTTCTTGTGTACTTGTGTAATTACATCTCTTTATGCTATTCTCTTTGAAATAGGTCTGACTTATTTCTACATCTTTATCGAGCTTCCACTTTAATAAAAGGAAAGAACACTGAAAGAAATCAAGCCCTTCAAACATTCACTGAATACATCAAGCATTTATCTAGGACCCAAACCACAAATGAGCTAAAAAAACAAATGAGGGGAAGAAACGCATCTTTCTATTAAGATCTGTATATGGATGAAGGTGTAGGCTTGTGAGCTATTTCTAATTCAAAGAGCTACATAAAATACAATAATTATATCAAAAGTTTATCATTAAGAATAGTGAATATTTTCACAGGCTGCAGAAAGCTAAAGAATTACAACATGCTCAGGAGGAGAAAGTCAAACAGAAGGTTAGAGCTCCCTCTGTCTTTTTCTTGAAGAAATTTGCCACGACCTCCCTCCCACGTTGCCTGGCCAAGGTCCCAGGCAGAGCCACGGGCCCCCAGGCCCAGTGTCTCCCCGACTCCACACACGCTGCGAGCACTGGGGCACATTTACTGAGAGTTCATTATTCGTAAGAGATTTCAGTAGTAGAAAGAGCACTTTGAAAAGCAGGAATACTCACAAAGCCATTTCAAACTGTTCCAGCCATTTTTTCTTTAAGTCTTTTGTTTTGCAATAAAATTCCAACCCATTCTGTCCTTGGGTATGGATGAGGTAGAAGCCGTAAGACCACTGCGGAAATTCAGTCTCGGGTTAGCAGGTCCCGTCAGTAACATCGTGCTTCCTAATTCCCTAACCCACCCCACAGGCACCCACAAACCACTCCTAACATCATCGGCATTCAAGCTACGATCAGATTTCTGTAGTCCACGTCACATCTCTAGCAGCTCTGAGGCCACATGCATCATGCGAATGCCATGAAGGCACCGGAGATGATCACTGTCAGTGGTGGCCCTGTCCGATTATTTCTCACAGAGGCTTGTTCCTAACCAATTTCTAGAAAGACAAAACACCTGCATCGATAAGCCCTCTCACATTAATGCATGAGCATACTTTCCTTGAATATTCAAAGCTATGAGTAAAATATAGTAATTAATTTTCAAAAATTCACCTTTTTATTTTCTTTATCGGTTGTAGGATTGTTGGCTATTTTATACTGCTGAAGATCTATTATTTCCTTCATTTCATAGTTATCGCCTTTCCTTTTACATACAATCACTGCCAAATCAAATAAGAAGATATGCCTAAGAATGAGAGAGAGAGAGAAAGAGATTTAAAATGGTTTGGAAGCATGGATGTTAACTTTTCCTTGGTAAAATCTAATTAAACCGACCAAATATTTTTTTCTTGGAATGAAAAACAAAGGCAGTGTTGGACACAGAAAATAATGAATTGTACATACCCTGGTGCTACCCTTTACTGAATGAATGGCCTTAGTCTACCTTAGTTTCATTAAAAAAAAAATATGCAAAATTATAGTAAGAATATACACAATACAGAGTTGCTGTAAGGAACAACTGAGATAAGCCACAAAGTGTCCATAAGCAATTATCTTTTTTTTTTTTTTTAGTTTAAAAGCCAAAACATTTACAGAATAGTAATGACAACAATAGCAGTTAACTTCTGATGTTTCTAGGAGTCGGCCAGAATGTGTTGAGAAGTGTCCATCCCTTTCATAAAGATGACTCACATAATTTAAATCCTCAGGACCATCTGCTGAGGTATTATTTTCATCCTCATTTTATTGGGGAGGAAACTGAGGATTAAAAAAGTTAAGTAATTTGCTCAAGGCCATAGGGCTAGTGAGATGAAGAGCAGGATTCACACCCAGATCTAACTGGAACCTGCACTTTTACCCTCTATGTTGCTCCACATGATTTTATGGACCACCTGAAATGCAAATTGAACAGCGTATGAGCAAAATGTAAACTAGAAAAATTATGCTTATATTTATGGGTTGATATTTCTCTTAACTGTTAAAAACAATGTAACTGGAGAAAAACAAACCTTGTAATCCTATCGTTCAACACTAATATTTTTTATCTTTTCAAAAATTCTCAGTAATTAACATGTATGCATTTTAAAATAATGATAAAGACAATGATACATTCACACAGCTCTAGTCCTGGCATCATTTTCAAAGACTTCTTTTCTGGAGATGCTAAAAAGGATATGGATCTCCTGGGAGCTACCTGTAAAGGCTGGGTATCAAGTTGGAAGCAAAAGCTGACACTGCCCCCTGCTGGCTCACTTTCTCGCTCCAAAGGTTCCAGAAAATGGCCAGTTTAATCAAATGAATCAGATTAGCAATCCTATGTATATAATTTGGGATACCAGGCTAAACTCACTAACCTGAACTTCCCTCAAGAAAATATCATGAAATTTTCCCCACTTAAGACTTCCTTTTTAGGACATCTCGTATTTTTTTGGCTGTTTTCAAATGTATCCCAAAAAGAGAAATCTAAAACAATTGTGTTATCTATTACTTTATCTCTACTCTCATTTTAATGTGTCCCTTGGAGCCTCAGCTGACATTCTGTTTGTCATATCCCTTTAAGAACTTAGACAAATCAACAGATACCAGAACAGAGAAGAAAATACCTAACATATCTATTGGAAAATTTTTAGAAAACCATAGGTTGGTGTGTCTCCTTATTTTTCTTCCTTTGTTTCCCTCCTTTGTCCTAAGAGAATTGTTTTCTCAATCTTCTGATACCACTTATTCTGAAAATCAGTATTTGCTCCTCTTTTCTTACCTTTCCTGTTTCGTATGCTTGTCTAGAGTAGTTATTCGAATTTCACCATCTCCCTGAGGTCGTCCAAAAAGCAAAACTGGTTGGTTCTAAAATATAAAACTTACATGTGTCAGTTTTTTGTAATCATGTAAAAACAAATAAATATTAGCGAGGATATTTGCTAGGGACAGCTACCTTATTACACTACAGGCTTTATCATTTTACATTTTTAGCACACATACCCTAAAAAGCTCAGGTCTACATGATACACTTTTGAAAACAGTCTGTCCTTGGACATCCTTGGGAGTATACTGAGAACATTAATTAACTTTACTTATAACCTGAAGAGGGAAGCTACCAAAAGCAAGAATTAACTGGAAGAATTCAAATCACAACAAAGTTACAGCAACTAACACTTACTGATCACCTACCGTGTGCCAGACACATTAGGAGATAGGGGGCAAAATAACCCCGGCCTAGTGGGGGAAAAATATTCACAGAAGTATATAATTATAAATGTGCAATAGCCATGAAGAAAGAGTACAGGAAACATGCATGTTTCCAGGGGCTTAATTTGGTCTAGGAAGTTAAGGATAGCTTCCTTGAGCTAAGATCTCAAGAATGAAAAGTATGACTTAATGCTTAAAAATAATGAACCATTTCCTCAGAGGCTGGCAATAAAAAAAAATAATGTATTTATGAACACCTACTGTACAAGATGCTAAGGGGAAAAAGAATTGACTGAAAATTATCATTAACATCTAGGAAATTACATTCTAATAAAGGAAGCAGCTATATAATTAACTGTACTGCATGAAAGTATAAAAATAGACATTCTCTATCAAGGTCCCCAAGATGTATTTTACAAAATAGAAAACTCCATCCTAAAATTCATAAGGAATCTCAAGGAACTCTTAATAGGTCAAACAATAGGCAAACAACTTGAAAAAGAACAAAGTTGGGGTCTTAGTCTTCCTGATTTCAATACTTATTACAGAACTATGGTCATTAAAACAGTGTGGCATTTGCATAAAGACAGACTTTTAGACCAATGGAACAGAACACCTGGAAATAGGTCCTCATATATATGGTCACAGGATTTTTGAAACTAGTACTAAGACCATTCAGGGGATGGGACAGCCTTTTCAACAAATGATTCTGGGGAAACTGGATATGCACAGGCAAAAGAATGAAGTTGGAACCTTACCTTATGCAATATACCAAGCTGATTAAAGAGCTAAAAATATTAAACTCTTATATGAAAACACAAGGGAAAAGCTCTGTGACATTGGACTTAACAATGATTTCTTTTCTTAGATATAACATGAAAGCACTGTCAACAAAAGAACAGTAATTCGAAATTGATCAAAATTAAATCTTTTATGCAAAAGATACTATCAACAAAGTGAAAAGGCAACCTACAGAATAGGAGAGAACACTTTCAAAATGTGTGATAAGAATTGGTATCCAGAATATAGAAAGAGCCCCTATAACTCAACAACAAAAGCAAGCAATCCTGATTCAAAAATAGGCAAAGGAATTGAATAGAGACTTCTCCAGAAAGATATACAAATGGCCAAAAAAGCATATGAAAAGATATTCAATATTCCTAATCATTAGGGAAATAAAAAGTCAAAACCATAATAGACACTGCTTTGTACCCATTTGGATGGATATTATTTTTTTTAGAAAGAAGAAGAAAGAAAAGAAAAAGTGTTAGCGAGGATGTGGAGATACTAGAACTTCTGTGATTGCTGGTGGGAATGTGAAATGGGGCCACTGTGCAAAACAATACAGCCAGTCCTCAAAAAATTAAACCTAGAATTACCATATAATCCAGCAATTCCATTTCTGGGTACATAACCAAAAGAAGTGAAAGCAGGGACTCAAGCATGTATTTGCAGAATCACGTTCATAGCAGCATTATTCACAATAGCCAAAAGGGGGGAAGAAACCCAAGAGTCCATCAACAGATAGATAATCAAAATGTGTATATACAATCAATGTTAAATTTTAAAGCCTTAAAAAGGAAATTCTTTTTTTAAAAAATGAAATACATGCTACAAAGGATGTATACTGAAGACATTATGCTAAATAAAATATGCCAGTTAAAAAGGTCAAATATTACATGATTCCATTTATTTTTTTTAAGATTTTATTTATTTATTCATGACAGACATGGTGTGGGGGGGGGGCAGAGACACAGGCAGAGGGAGAAGCAGGCTCCATGCAGGCAACCCAATGTGGGACTCGATCATGGGTTTCTAGGATCACACCCCGGGCCGAAGGCAGCGCTAAACCGCTGAGCCACCAGGGCTGCCCTACATGATTCCATTTATATAAGGTACCTAGAGAAGTTCACAAAGACACAAGTAAAATGGTGGTTGTCAGGGGCTGGGAGGAAGGGGGAATGGGGAGTTAGTGTTGAATGGGTAAAGCTTCATTTTTAAAAAGATAAAGACAGTTCTGGAGATGGACGGTGGTGTCAGCTGCCCAGCTACATGAATGGATTTAATGTCACAAAACTGTACATTTAAAACTGGCCAATGTCATATATAGTTTACCACACACACACACACACCATGCTAAACAGCTATCCAGGTAATATGTTAAGGAATTATGAAGGGAAAGTAATAATGAGAGATCAGGGAAAGAATTATTTTAGTTGGACCTTGAAGGAATTTGCTAGAAAATAATGGGAAGACATTCTAGGCTTTGACAATTTATCATCAAAGGCAGAATGATAAAAATGTGTGGCAAATTAGAGACCTTACAACACAGCAGGAGACCTGCAAAGTCAAGTACATGGGCAGGTACTAGCTGGATGAGTTCAGGAAAGTAGCTTAAGCCCAAATCACCAAGGGCTTTAAATATCATGCTGAATCCCAAAGGCAACAGCAAATGTTGACAAGGTTGGAAAGAGAATGAATCGCAAAGTCCATTTGGAAATGCAACTTTGTGAAGGAATGACTGGAGGCTTCTATGACTGGAAAGGCGGCAGATGGGGTCCTGGAAGGGGGATGTGACTGTACATGTGAAAAGAAACAGGCTCAAGATATTCCAGAGAAGGCAGCAATAAAATTGCTCGACCAAGAAAAGTATCTTTCCTTCAAACAGGCATCTCTATTTTCACTGCCCACAGCTCCATCCAGGCCTCCACCAACTCTTTCTTAAGACCACCACCTCAACAACTTGTTGACTAGCCTGCCTGCTAAAAGGGTTTTCTTGAAATGTAAATCAGAATGAAACTCTCCTACAGAAACCTTTACTGGCTTCTCACAGTAATCACAGTAAAAACCCTGGCTCAGTGCCCTGGTCTACAAGGCTGTGGGACATAGTCCTCCTGCCCTCCTCTCTCCCATCTCAGACCCATCAGTCTTCCCCTCACTCACTCACCCACTCTTGCCTTTCAACCTTCTTGAACACCCCAGGTTCTTACCCATCTCTGGGCATTTCATTTGCTATGGCTTCCACCTGGAATTCCCTCCCCCGATCTCTGTACCACTGGCTGCTTCTTATGCTTCAGATGCAAGAGGCAAATGACCCAGAAGAACTTTTTCTAATCATCTTATCTAAACTAGGACTCTCATTGTCCTCTGTTGCCCCGCCCTGTTCACAGCAGAAATCTCAGTGCAGCATTTTTAAACTCTCTTTTCACTGCTTCCTCAACCATGAGACCACATTGTTCATAGTTACAGCCCCAGCCCCAAGAAAAATGTCTGGCACACAGTAGTCACCCAGTGAATATGTATAAAATTAATAGATTAACAGGAATGAGCCTAGAGTGTGTATATATATGGTAAGGGAAAGAAAAGAAAAAAACTGAACTCCAATGTCTAGAATCTGTACAGCCAGGGGAAGAGGCATACTGTGATTAAGGAGAGAGAGATAAGCTGTGGTGGAAAGTCCTTGCACAATGTTACATGTATCGCAGGTGCCACGAGACACCTGTGTGGATGCTGTCAACCAAGAATCAGAAACAAACCTACAACAACAGAAACGTCAAGGTAAACAATCTTTTCTTCAAAAACAACTTGTAGAATGTCCTCTGATTTGTGGGTGAGGGAAGATGGAGAGAAAGATAATTACATACCAGATTTTCTATAGATAGCTGAAACTGTTTAATTTCACGAAGAGTCTCATTATCTCTTTTCACTTCATTCACATATTGTGCCAAGTCCTAAAGAATAAAGGGAAGGGTACAAAAAGAAGTCATGATAAGACTGGAGAAGAGACGAAAACTGAAAGAAAACACATCATTAATTTCATTAGTAGTAAAAGTAATCACCCTAACTTTTCAATGACAATAAAATAAATGTCCAATCAATCAAAGCTGCAACTCAAAAGCCATTTTAAAATGTCTGGAGTACAGCTGGGAAGACTGAAGAGTTGTCATTTACCACACCTCTGAGAAGAACAAGGATAAAAAAACAAAAACAAAATCTGCCACCATACACAACAACAAAAGGAAACTAGGTCAGGAGAATGTAAATTCCAGACACGTTAATAACTGACCTTGAGAGAATTACGTTTTTACATGGGTGAGAATAAGGTCAATAATGCAATAATGAAGGATCAGCAGGGAGAAAAAAGTAACTAAAAGTTAGACAGTGAATCCAGCAGGACTGTTTTCTGCAACCAGTTAGTGTCTTGGTTCCTAAGAGCATTTGGTCAAGGCAGCCAGTTCAATTTTAAAGGCTTAATGAAGGAAAAGCAAAAGAGAGGAGAAAAACCTCAGAGCACCAAAATGAATTAAAAGCAGACAAACAATGCTGGACACGGTTCTCCACGTGCCTTCTTCACCTACTTTAAAATGTCTTTTCTCATATTTGAGGAAACATTAGCTAATCTCTCCATACTGTAAGTTGCTATTTTTATTATATGTGCTCTAGATTTTCCTGTTTTCTGGGTTTTCTTTTTTCTCTACCCTCTTAAATTCATCTGCAACAGCAGGAACAGAACCCTGACCAAAAGCAGTTCCTAACTTTGTTCTAAATGAAAGTCTGACTTTTCAGAGGGTGTATCTATAAATGACTTTTTTTAAAAATTGGGAACTTTGTATGACTTCTGAAAACAGTAACAAATAATTGTGTGATATTTCCTGCCAGGGTACTAAAATCAGCTCAACAGCAGAGCTAACGCTGAAACCACACAGGGACTCACTCAGAGAAGTCATTATTAGCACTGCTCTGAGTAGAGTCACATTGGCATTTTGTTTGGAGAACAAATATCTGCATGTGTTTTAAGGTAGGGGCACGTATTTCTAAGTCAATGTTCAGCACCACGTAGAGACTGAGGTTTTACAGATTCCCCAATATACTTAAAAGTCTGCCTTTATCTACGTCTAGTTCTTGATTTTCAGATTTACCTACAATAGAAACCCAAACTGAAATCCACTTGTGGCATCCACAGATGTAAGCGGGGCAGATACCGTCCCTTGAGGAAAAGAAGTCCCATTGGTGTTCTGAAGTCACCAGCTGACCCGCTGCTTACACAAGCCAACAGTTTTCTACTAGTCACCACAAAAGGAATGTGAAATAAAACCATTAAATCATTCCCAGTGGTAATAAAAGTTGTCATACTTTCATAAATAGCAAAAGCTATCTTAATACACCTCATGGTTTTATGTATCCTTGTCTAACAATTGAATTCATGCAGGGATATCTATTTTCAGTTAAAAATATCCATTTCTCTGGGGCACCTGGGTGGCTCTGTCAGTTAAGCATCTGACTCTTGATTTCAGCTCAGGTTAGGATCTCAGGGTCATGAGGTCAAGCCCCACATCAGGGTCCATCGGGCTTGGTGCTCAGCAGGGAGTTTAGTCTACTTGAAGATTTTCTCCCTCTGCCTTCCCCCGACTTGTGCACACACTCTCCCTCTAAAATAAATACATAAATCTTCACAAAAAATATCCACCTCTCCCCACCAAATGCAAAACTATACTAATACTTAACATGCTATATAACATATTAGCAAATCACACGTATTTATTAGCAATTTGTACTTTCTAGTTTTTAGGCAGGAATAAAAAATACAAAGAAGTTAATGACACATTTGCCTTACCTTCATTGCATCAAGAGCCAGTTTCAGATTTGCCTTCTCCATAGGATCAGTAGTATGTTTGACCAGTTCCTATTTGGAAGACACAGTTCAGTAATACTTTCTTCAATTAAAACCAAAATATCAGAAAGAAAATATTTTTTAAAATAATGCATTTTTATCACTCTTTATACCAAAATGTAATAAATCTGGTACAACCTAACTAGGTTCTGTTTCCATTAAAAAAAAAAAATCGCAAACTGGGCAGCTCAGGTAGCTCAGCGGTTTAGCGCCACCACCTTTGGCCCAGGGTGTGATTCTGGAGACCCGGCATCGAGTCCCACGTCAGGCTCCCTGCATGGAGCCTGCTTCTCCCTCTGCCTGTGTCTCTGCCTCTCTCTCTCTCTCTCTCTCTCTCTCTCTCTGTCTCTCATGATTAAATAAATAAACCATTAAAAATTTTTTTGAAAGAATTCTATTCCCTGCCATTACACTGACATCCTTCTCAAAGGTCATGGAATGTCCCTTCACTGCCAACTGATTCTGATGGTTACTCCCCTCCCTTGGCTTCCGGGATATTAGAATCTTTTGTTTGTTGCTATTATCGTTGTTGGTTAGTCCATCTTAAATTTCTGCCTATTCACCAGTCTTTCATACCTTCTTCTTTATCTGCAACTTGGAAAGTTACCATTCCCTAGATTTTCACCTTAGTCTTCTGTTACTCTTCCTAAACATACTCTACAAATTCTATCACAACCATTGCCATAATGTCAATGCTCACCTAATAAGACAATCCCTCTCAAAGCAATGTGCTCAACCCAGAACTCACGGAGTCCCAGACTCTTCTGTCCAATTAAACAGTTCTACCTGGGTATCTATCTCACAAGCTCGTCTAACCCAACAATTCCAAACTTAAGGCACCTTTACCCACAACCCTACTCTGGTTCCTGTTTACGCTTTATTGAATGATGGCACCTCCATCAGTGGAGTCACTTAAGCCAAAACCTAAGAAGTGTCCCAGGTACCCCTCTCCCATACTATGTTCCGGTGATACTGACTTTGACCTTTCCCCTGGAAACCATCCTCACTGCCACTACACTGGTTGAAGCCCTTACGCTTTTTCCAATGGGTTATTATAAATGGGCCTTTGACCTGTAGCCTCTCTGGACTACACTCTATTCATTCTATTGACAGCAGAGCTGGGTTTATAATATATAAATTCGATTCTGTCTATACCCTATTTAGACTTTTGTGATGCCCACACAGCTTCAAGTTGTCATCCATACCTCTTAGATCCTCTGTGGTCTGAATTCTGCAAACCCATCCCAACTTTTCTCTCCACTCCACCCAAACAACCTATATCCCATCCACACTAAATTAACCGCAATTCTCAAAATACATTCTACTGTCTGATCTCATTAGGCACACTGTTGGTTCTCCTTGATATACTTATGGAACTCTTACTGCTCCCTTCATAGCCAGTTCAAGAATCACTCAAAAATTTTTGCTGAGGTCCATATTAATAGTGTTTCTAGTTATAAAGAGGACCTATAGCCATTAGATTTTTAAGTATAATAAACTTGTCCAAGTGATATTCTTTTATTTCTATTTTTACTTTTCCTTTATTAAATAATGATATTAAATTATTCTCAGTTTCAAATCCCTCACTCTCAAATATTCTAATTTTATAAATCTGGGATTTCAAACCATAAAGCATTTCAAAAATTATTTCCCCATTAAAGTATAGTAGTAAGTAGGAAATGCTCAAATTCATTTATTCAACAAATGTCTAAACATTAGACAAATTCTACCCTACACTATCAAGATGGAAAAACATTTCTAGGGCAGCCCCAGTGGCTCAGTGGTTTAGTGCCACCTTCAGCCCAGGGCGTGATCCTGGAGACCCGGGATCAAGTCCCACGTCAGGCTTCCTGCATGAAGCCTGCTTCTCCCTCTGCCTGTGTCTCTGCCTCTCTCTCTCTCTCTCTCTCTCTCTCTCTCTCTCTCTGTCTCTCTGTCTCTCATGAATAAATAAATATCTTTTAAAAAACCACACATTTCTATAATTTTGTCTATATGTGGTGCCCCAAATAAAAACTTCCCTATTTTAAAACATCATAAAACTAAACATTCTTTAGAAATTTAAAATATAAAACACTCCAGGAGGAATTAAGAAAAAAAATCTGCTCAATTTCAAAAAGGTATAGCCAAAAAAATAAATAAATAAAAATAATAAAAAAGGTATAGCCATATTTTATGCTTTTATAAGTCTCTCTAGAACTTTATAAATGACCATAATAGATATTTCTTGAAAACTGCACCTTTTAAATTCTTCAATTGATATTTGACTATACCAAAGTTACAAAATAAATTATTATCTTATTTTGGACATGTTTTTGGTTTCATGATGTCCCAGAAACTGATTGCTTACGTCTTCCTTATTATTTTTTCATAAAATCCAATTTGATTAAGTTGCTTTGAGTTTAGGTCTCATAAATGTTTTAATGCATGTTAAAGAAATAATCAGGGTTTGAATTTTTCTGATTTCTCAGTAGAACAAAAATAGAGATGACTAATAATTTTGTAACTACAGTCCAAGGAATTTAATATACAAGATGTATAAAGCGCAGCAGACTCAAAATTGTATTTCACATACAGGTAGTAGATCTTTTTAAAATGACATTTCACAAGCATCAGCAGAGTTGACAGACTAATAGTGTAAGACATTTCCTTGGAGCAGAACTAATGAGCCTCCTGGTACAGCCATCAAATTAAATTTATAAGACTCTCCACCCTCATTAGAGGACTAACTGTGGAATCCATAAGCTTTGTGGTTATAACAAGAATCACTTCAAAATAAATGTACTCTTATTATAATTTACTACAGCAGGAAGCAGCATGGAATGGGACAGAACTTAGTTCATGGTTATAAGGCAAAAAGTCCAAAACACTTGACCTGCCAAAAACCAGGGGTATTGCAGCTTTGAGATTCTAACAAATGATTCCCGCTAACCAAAGAAGACTTGGTCAGAGGCATCTTTTCATTCTGTCTTGTTTTTTTTAGATTTTTTTTGGAGCCAGTTCTGTTTGAAGGACACCAAAAGTGACTTTGTGCAAGATACAGAATCATCGTTGCTAAGAGGAAGAAAAAGATTCCAGCTGTTCTGTTAGTTCCCACTTAGCTATACTCATCATTGAAAATCTAAGGGGATAACAACCCCAGACATGGAGTATCTGGAGCATAATTGATGCTGCATGAATATTTTGTTAAATGAATAAGTGAAAAAATAAACAAACTGATGGTTTTAAGTTACATACCTGGAGGAGAAGGTGATACTTTAAAACACGCTGCATAGGAACCACAAGCAAATCTCGAAGAGTGAATTTTCCATTATTTGCTCTTTTGGAACATTCCTAATGAAATGTTTTTTAAAAACTTTTTTTAAAACTTTGTTAGTTTTATCAAAGGGAGTCATGAAGCAAACATTAAAAGATGTCGAGGCCATAAACAAAACTGTTATATAATAAACATCCTGTTCTTTTCCTTCTTAATAATCCTTTCTGAAAATAAAAAGTATCTAATCAAAAACCAAAAAAACAAACTTTGTAGCATTTCAACTCTAAAATGAATCATTAAGTAGAACTACATTAGCATGAAATTTATTTTCTCTAATGGCCCTCTAGGGTCTTCTTCTACTAACCCTTCTAGCTCTACCTTCTACTAGTTACCCGTAGCCAGCCTATGGGCCAGGCATCAAGAAAAATGATACTCCTCAAACTGGCCATGTGCCTTCCCCACTAGCATGTCTTCGTTCATTCTGTTCTTTCCAACCATCATGTCCTTTGTCCAGTTTCCAAAAAAAATCCATCCTCTTCAAGAACTATACATCAAGGCCTTTTGTGATAATCCCAATCAAAACTGTGTTCCCTCTCTGTGCCTTGTGTGCATTTTAACTGTTGTTGTATGCATATCTTCCCCAATATATCTTATATAGCTTTAAGAATCTAGTCTTGCTTAATAAGTATTTGTGAAACTAAATGAAATGGAATGATCAATTCTAAAAATTTGCTAAAGTATAAACCTACTATTGGATTCAAAGTTTCAAAAGCCTCATTAAAAAAAAAAAACTCACATTCTCCTTTTTCAAAAGTTTATCTAAAAATAGTATTGACTTGTGTTCTTTTGACATTACCTAGGACTTTGAGGAAAGTACTTGGAAGTATCAAACAATGAATTTAAATCAAGGCTTGGCTGTGTTACCTTGAACAAGTTGCTTTTTCTGATTTTACTGTTTCTCACACATTTGTGATCAAATTTTAAAAAATAACAAAGTTCCATAAAATTGTTAGTTAGAAACTACGTCCAAAACCCTCAAACAACTGCACATCCCAGAACAAGGAATTTTCCAGTTCATAGAAAGAGTTGCATTCAAGAAAATATTGCTTTGTTCATAAGTTTGTTTCCTCTTTGCCTACACTTAGCTTTTTGGCACGTGGAAAGATATATTATCAGGAGCTATAAAGTAAACTCCATTGGCTCTAATGACCATAGTGACTTAATGAGTATTTGATTACAGGTCTTAAGCAAGAACTGGGGACATCTGGACATGTTAGCTCGTGTCTTGTCAATTGTTGCAGTTCACTAGGAAGAATAACTATTTCAACTGATATCTTGCTTCTACAGATCGTAGAGAGTTCTGGATCATGGGTCTCAAATAGGAGGTTAAGCTGTTAAGATTATTGTAATGAATGAGTCTCATCTCCCTAGCTGCATTTTAAGCTCCGTGGAACTGAGGTTATATCTTACACTTCATGTATATACATGCCATTTTAGCAGTGTTAGGGAGAGAAATGCTATACATTTAAAATTCACTTTGTCATGTTATAGAAGTCAGTTTAAAACTGCTGGGGAAATAATTAGTTCCTTGAAGTTTTTCGAAATTACAGTCTCCGGAAGCAAAAAAAAAAAAAAAAAATAACATTGCTGGCATTTCCTATAACAAGGGGCAGTCTGAGTCTGAGATGTAAAATGCTTATTAGTATTGAAAGTAAATAAAGGGTAGAAATGAGTCTTCCAAAACATCCAGTCACATGCTTAGCTGAACTCCAATTCTACCTGAGAAGAAACTAAACAGAATAGAGATGAGCCAGCTTACAGGACAAGATAAAGAGACTCTGTTACCTTTGCCCTATGTTATCTTGGTCCCAAAGTAGAGAAGAAAAAAGACAAAAATCAGTAAGAGCAAAAACAACCACACAACTGAAGACATGAGGCCTGGGTGGCTTGGTCAGTTAAGTTTCAGATTCTGGATTTCAGCTCAAGTCATGATCTCAGGGTCATGGATCCTGCCTAAGATTCTTTCTCTCTCCCCATTCCCTCTGCTCCTCCTCCCATTCATGCGCACTGTCTCTCAAAAATAAAAATAAGAAACTGAAAACATGAAGGGGGAAGACACATGGAGAATAGAGCAGCTTTCCCTTTATCATGCCAGGAGTTGCAGAGGACAGTCCCAGCAAAGAGTATCTGTTGAGGTGTCACAGTGTCTATCAAATACTTGCAGATCAGGGCCTTGGTCAAGAGTAGTGACTTTTCAGGCCAAAAAGGACAGCCAGCAGCAGCTTCTTGCCCTGAGCCTTTCAAACTCAGCCTCAGGTTCCTCTTTCCCTCAGATGGATAGTGATCGCACGAACTATGTTCCTAGAGTCCCAGAGTACGTCATAGGCAGGCCTTTGACAAGGACTCTGAAGGAAAGGAGAGGAACACCCAAACAATGCTGAGAATAAGGGAGATTTGATTGACAACATGCAGATTCCTATCCTGAGCCAGAGTTTCATATCTTTGTTTAAAAATAAAAACAAAAAAGACTGCTCTAATGGTAGCTCTGTTAGGAACTAGTTGTGTAAGTTGTACAGTTTTATCTTACCATCACAATTCAATTTAAGTCAAGGTAGCTTACAGCTTTATACTTCTGAGGCTCTATTCTCCCAAGAGAAGCAGGAACCCTTTACACTAGCAGGGTTTATGATGTTATTTCACGGTGACTCAAGTCACCTGCAGACATTAAGTCTGCATCATCAGATCACTGTGAGAAGTAAGGGTGAAGGTCCGTGATAGAGAGCTAGCACAGTCACTCAATAGCCTATTAGATATGGAAACCTCCTAACCAATGGTTCCCTGTTGTGGGAGTTATGAAGTCATACCAAATATGCTAAAAACAATGAAAGAGTTCTAATTTGAAAATCATGTGCCTCTTTTTTTCCCCTTTCATCACCTGATTTCACTGCTAAATTGGACAAAGACAGCAAAGGGGACAATAGAGAGTAAACTAAGCCAAACACAGCCATTTAAGAGTTGACTGTGTATCTCTACCCAATATTTAAGAAAATTCAAGCATATGGATAATATATTTGGGATGATAATTCATATAACATAAATAAACTTTTACAAAAGTTCTTTGAAAGTACAAACACTTCTTGTGAAAAAGAAGAAAAAATGATATACATTTATAAAAAATTACACAATTTCCAGATTTATTTCCCATTGCTCCCACATGTTCTGTTTATTCTGGTCTACTCTCATTTCTCAAACTTTCCCAACTCATCTGGTCAGTCATGCTTATCTGGGAGAATGCTCTCCATGGACTCTCCACTGTCAAGACTCACCCCATTCTTCCGTCAGCTAATTCAAATTCTACCTCTTCAGAGAAACCTCCCGCATTCTACCTGTACTGAAGCAATCAATCTTACTCACGGAGCCTTACTACTGCTGATCACATACGACTTAATCATAGTTGTGCCTGTTTCATCTTCCCTCTTATGGGCAATATCCATCCATGCCCTTTTTATATGCCTGTTCATAAACATTTAAATCTACACAGACATTATCTTCCATATATCTTACTTATTATCTTGTGCCTCTTTCTACCTAGGTGACCTTGGGCAAATTACTCATAATCTCTCTGAACCTCATCCATAAGGGAAGAAAATTAACTGTGTATCTCTCAGAGTCATAAGGATCTAATTAGATAATGCATGTAAAACATAGAGCCGTAAGTCATAGATTTTACTGTTATATTATTATTATTTTATTATTTCATAGAGTTAGCTATTAAAATATTTTATAAAGTTGATATGAAATTATATTTAGAATACATAGGGAAGTTTATTATTGCACTGATCTTGAATTTTTATTTTTTATTCTTATTCTTTTTTTGGTTGAGTACGTTTCATTAGTTTCAGGTGTACAACTTAGTGATTTGACAAGTTTATACATGATGCTATGTTGCAAGTATAGCTACCATCTGTCTCATTATATTGCTATTACAAAATCACTGACTGCATTCCTTATGCTGTGCTTTTATTTCCATGAATTATTTATTCCATAACTGGAAGCCTGTATCTCTCTCTCCCCTTCACCCATTTTGCCCATCCCCCACCTCTTTCCCCTTCCTTTTAGGTGTATCTTTATTTCATAAACAAAAAATAAACAGGTACCTCTAATTTCAGTTTTACATCTTCTTTTGTCTTAGAAATGTTATCTAAACTAGAGATGGCCGACTCCACTCCACTACAGTACTGTCCATAAATAACCAACCTGAAAAGGAAAAAGAGAAATTTGTAGGACAAAAAAGCAAGAATAAAGTGGAAGGGGAAGAAGCAGAATTCCCATCTATTTAAAACCACAGTTAGGGGGAATCAGAGCAAATCTCACTTGTCCTGTGTCTCTACCTGCCTATGTGACCCTTGGCAAACGACTTACAATCTCTCCGAGCCTCCACTTTCTCATTTCTTCTAAACACATACCACATGTAAAATCACAGAATAGGGGTCACTCATATTATGCTATTAAAGGGGCTAATTTTTATTTCTAAGTTTTAATGGGATTGATGCCATGTATATTTTTATAGCAGGTAAATTTTACAAACCGGCTTAATGACTTAATGTTGAGTACACATGAATATCACAAAACCAAAATTAAGAGTGTCTGTTTTATGTTCCTATTAGAGATCAACTTTTGACTGTTTATGCACACTCAGGAACAGTTTTACTTTATATTACAATTTTATTTACTCACTACTCATGACTCTACTCATTAACAAACCTCCTACTCTTTCCTGCTTTTTTAATTAAGGAAAACACATTATCTGAAAATTGGGAATGGATGAGAGGCCTGAATTGTGCTGGATGGAAGATAATTCGTACTGCATGGAATCTGAGGCCACTTCAGGAAGGGTAGCTCTGGAGTGATATAGCTATTTTACAAAGAGGTTGGGTAATTTATTGTCTCCTTCAACTCTCCATTGAGGGCAAAAAAACTGCTAATGAGTTCATGTTTATCTAACTTGTTGATGCAAAGCAATTCATTACCTAGTACTAAGTCAGTACTAGGAACTGCAGGGCTTGATTTAAAAAGAGAGAACAATATTTTAAGGGAAATTCCTCAGTACTTTAACTCACATGAGTTGTTCAGAAGATTTTTTTTTCAGACTTAGGGAAACTGCCTCAAGAGAGAATTATAAAATATGGGAGTGGGAACAAGCACTAGGTACCACCTAATCTACCCCTAACATTTAAAGATGAAGAAAAGGAGGCTGAGAGAATTAAAACGACTTCCTAAAAACTAACTACAGAACTCAGAGGTAAAGGGTCTGTAAAAGAACCTGAACCTTCTGACTTGGCCATTCAAAACTCTGGATCCTTTCTTTTTTCCTCCTTTTTCTTGACACACATACAGAACTCAAACTATTGCCCATAAACAGCCCCATGTTCTAATTACTACTCAGGTGGTATCTTAATGGACAGTAGGAATAGCTGTTTATGAGCAATTTTAATGCTAACCCTTACTATAATCACAAATTGATAGTCACAAAATTTGGAAGTTAGCAGGTACCTTTCCTTGTAGTTAATGAAAACTTGATACAAGTTCTGGTCATTTTTATTTACAATGGAATCATGAATTTCTTGCATTAGGTTCCGATGAACTTTTACAAGTTCCTTAGGAAAGAAAAGAAAAAAAAAAATCAAAGGAAATTAGAAATCAGGATCCTCCCCAGCAAAAAACCAACCACACCCCAAATCTAAAATCCCTATGATTTCCTAGACTTGTCATTCAAGGATATGCTGAATGCCCTCAACACATAAACCTGCTATCACAGATAAGCAGAGGAGGAAACAGAGGGGGGGAAAGGGAGGAGAGGGAGGGGAGAAAAAAGAGAAAGGAGAAAGGAGAGAAGGGGAGGGAATAGTAGAGAGAGACAGGCCAAGTACACAGAAAACAGCAGCTTCAGATTGGACTTGAATCGTCAGTGTCCTGTGGTGGGAGAAATTATCTCACTACTTATTAAAGGGTAATTTATTCCTTGTATAAAAATATGTACAGCTTATTTTCATTATAATCACTTTAATTTTTTAAATAAAACTATCCAAGTGCTTAATGTTTTATTGATGGAATAAAGTAATGATTCATGTCCTTGGGACATAAAAATGTAGATTTGCACTCTGGTCAATTAGTGGCATCCTGGTGCTAAGCTAACAATAATCACACTAAATTACTTGAAACCAGACAACTAATGGCATAAATAAAGTGCAGACAAATTGTACTGGGCAGTTTACTAGAGCAACTCAGAAGTCAGAATTTCACCTTTTTCCTGATAAGCAAGTAATTTTCAGTAAGGCAGTAAATACATGTCAGAGCCAAGAAATGAGGAAATTCTAACTAAGGTGCCAACGCTCCCATTATCTCTTCCTTGTACCCTGGTGCAGATACTGACTTCACAACATGCCCTTTCCTTAGCAGGGTGGAGAGGAACCAGGAATATGTTTACCCTGTCATTTTATTGAGGAGTAGGGAAAAGCTGTAAGATTAAGGACTGTCATATGTGTCCGATGTTACACTGTCCGTCTTATAGTGGTTCAAGATCCTCCTCTTCCAACAGTGTGTGGTTTGCTTCATGCTAAATTTTGATCTGATAGTGTGACTTTTTTCTTCCTGCTATGCTATGAACCAAAAAGAATATCTTCGTCTGGCCCAAATCAGGGACGAGGATAATAGCCAGCTAACTGACTGATACACATCAACGCTGAACATAACAGAACCAAAATAGTAGGGAACTTTCATGTAAAATGAGCAAGCTTGTGCACAAAAGCTATATATTAAAATCCAAACCAGTTTTAGGGATTTAGGAACTTGAATCTTGCCTAGTATGACCTCACTTGGCACAGCATTTGGTTTGTTTCAATGCTTCTAGGTAACTATCCTTTAAGATTATAAGATAATCCTAAGGGGCTCTGAAATTCAAAATGCGTACATAAATGTGAAAAAAAGCTCCTCACCTCTAACTGCTAAAACGGACTTTCAAATCCTGAGACAGTAGTGTATTTCAGAAATGGGAGTTAAGGTTAGTACAATTGGAAGCAGAAGCAGAAACCACCACAGAACAGAGGCCAGGGAAGTGGAGGAAACTGATGCCCTCAAGACAGTGCCTACAGGACGGGGTTGAAGGGCTGCAGTAGCAATAGATCAGGGAGTGGGGCCTAAGGGGGCTCCCACAAGACAAAGAGAGAGTGGTACCAGGGATTCTTTAACTCAGACTACCTCTTCCTGACAAGCAGTTAAGGATATACATGAATCTTATCCATGTGTGTTCAGCTTGCATTTTGATTGATTTTGGTTGAAGATAGGACATATCCTTTATTTCTAGAAAATAAGGATACAAGAACTCAGGAGGCAAAAAATAGAGTTAAGATTCTTAAAGAATACAGGAAAATGTTAAAATAGAAATCTGGAACCCAATAAGATGGAGATTTTATAGAAGTATATCACAATTTTAGCTAGCATATTTTTACTTACAGGAATGTTGATGAATACTGAATCAAATTCTGCTGCTGTCAGAAATCTTTTCAGTGGTGCCATGAAATACTACAAGGATAGAACAGACAAGTAATGATTAAGCACAACTTATCCTAATAATAAGTTTTTCATCAACAAAGAATATGTATTAAAAGTATGTATTAAAAGTCAACTGTTTATCCATATAATGAATACCAAGAAAAATGCAGAAACTATTTTCTCTATCTTAAAGATTTTATACCTGAATAGAGATGTAAAGACAAAGTTGAAGTATAGAATAAAAGGTTTTGGCAATAAATACTTGTGAAAGTAAGAAAAAAAGAACACTATTGCCTGAACTGGCAAAAAAAAAAAAAAAATATATATATATATATATATTAGTATTTTGGAGATACAGGACTAATACTAAATATCCCTCAAAGGCCTTATGGAGATTCTAGATCCTGAGATCAATTATCTACTTGTGTGATTTATGATCATCCCCTTCATTCCTTGAGAATTTTTTTTTTAATTTTTATTTATTGTTTATGATAGTCACAGAGAGAGAGAGAGAGGCAGAGACACAGGCAGAGGGAGAAGCAGGCTCCATGCACCGGGAGCCCGACGTGGGATTCGATCCCGGGTCTCCAGGATCGCGCCCCGGGCCAAAGGCAGGCGCCAAACCGCCGCGCCACCCAGGGATCCCTCCTTGAGAATTTTAGTTCTTGGCTTGCCATATCTCTTTCCATTAACACTCCAATGTCCATTCCTGGCAATCTCAGTATTTGTGCAGATGATCCTTCCAATAGCCTGGACTTTCAGTTTCTTGACTTCCAGTAGTCTTGTGTTCCATCCTAGCTCAGCTCCCTATCCTGGTGGTCATAACCCAAGACCTTCTCATTATCAACAACTGAAATCCTCTATAGAATTAATTTCAGCCGGGGATCCCTGGGTGGCTCAACGGTTTAGTGCCTGCCTTTGGCCCAGGGCGCGATCCTGGAGTCCCGGGATCGAGTCCCACGTCGGGCTCCCGGCATGGAGCCTGCCTCTCCCTCCTCCTGTGTCTCTGCCCCCCCCATCATAAATAAATAAATCTTTAAAAAAAAAGAATTAATTTCAGCCAATCAATTCTCTGACCACAACCTCCTACCTTTACAGCTCATTCCTGCATGGAATTCTTCAACCTCAGTGGATCTGCTAATCCACTGAACATCCCGGGTCTCTCAAGTCCTCACTTCCGTCCCTACTCAGTTTACATTCAGTAAACCATCATCAGAATCTCTTCCTTGCGTATACCCTTACCCTCTACTGTCCTCTTCCACTCTGCTTTTCTGGAAGAAGAAAAACCCTAGTTAAATCTACAACCCTGGTTGTACCCGTACCTAAGAAGTTAAACATGAACTAGATTGATAGTCTAATTTACAATTGAGCCTGTGATACTGCATGATCCTAATACATTTCCCTAGCCAATTTACTCCCACCCCTCTCCCAAACAACTTTTCCACACCTTCAGCTCTTTTCCTAAATGGCCAAAATTTTCTCCTGGTTCTCATTTTCCTGACCCCTAAATATGGAAGTTGCCAGAGGTGGCCTCAAGCCTCTCCTCTATCAGCATTCATTTCCTAGATGAATTCATTCAGTACTACGGCCTTAGATTCCACTGCATAATGATAATAGCCCAATATATTGGTCAGTTCAACTTTTCCCCTTAATGCCAGCCTCATATCTCTAACTCCTTCTTTAACACAGCCCCTTGGAAGATAAGAGGTATTGCAAACTTAGTACATTACAACAGACTAGTGATTCCCAAAGCTGTCCTCATCTCAGTAATAATCTTCACCACTCATGCAGTTATTCATGCTATAAACCTAGCACTTTTGATTGCTCTCTTTCCCATATATTCTTCACCTAACTCATCTAATCCACTTGGCCCTACTTTCAACATTTATTCAGAATCTGACCGTTTCTTAACAGCTCTACAAATACCACCATGTTCTATCAATCTAATTACTGCAATATCTTTCTAACTTTTCTCCCAAAAAGTCAGAACAAGCTGTGAAAAACTTACATTAGATCATGTCACTTCTTCTACTCACACATGCCAGCTTTGAGCTAGGTGTTCTCCATGCCCCCTACCTGATGTGGTGGCTCATCAGCTCTCTGCTCTCGCTGTTTCTACCACCGGGGCTACTGCTGTTCCCTGAAACACACTGAACACGGTCTCATCCGAAGGCCTTTCTCCCAGAAACTGTCATCTCTGGGATGTTGGCATGACTTGCTCCCTTAATTCCCCCAGCTGCCTGCTTAAGTGTTATCTTATCACAGAGGCTGTCCATTATCACTTTACATAAAATACCAGCCCAGGTCCATCACTCTTTATCCTTTCCTTGATTTTTCTTAAAAAAATTTCTCACCACCTGGCACACTTATTTGCTTAAATTATGAACTGTCCCATGAGAGAAACTATCATGAGAACCAGGGTTTTGTTGTCTTTCTTGCTATATCCTTAGGGTCTAACACAGTGCTATTTAGATGCTAAGAAACCAGTAGCTAGTTATGGAATGTATGAATCTGCTTTGAGATCTTTAAATCCAAAGTCCTATTGAAACTCAGAAAACATACACACAGTAGACACAGTAAGTTTAATATATTAAATATAAGATGAAGTACTTAGGCATCAAAAATAGTACCTGATAACTTACTTTTTCTATTGACTCCAATGTTTCTGTGTATTTTTCTTCTGTCTGCTTAATTTCTGCTAGGCAGCAACTTCGTATGTCATTTTCTGGACATTTCTGCAATTACAGTTATCAAAAAAATTATTTAAACATACGTATTAATCTCTCTGCAAGTATGTAGAAAGAGCTCAAAATCACTGATCTTAAGCTTTCCATTCTAATAAAATACATAACTAAAAGATATATTTATTGCATTTACAAAATATCTGTTAAGATGTTGAACCATGTAAATTAGAAAGTTTTAAATAATTAAAAATAAACAAGTATAGACATTCTATATTGAAAACATGTCTTTCCTTGTAAATGTCACTGAATCTAGAAACATCACATATGGTGTAATGTAGTTTTCTTAATGTACAGCATACTTTACAAGTGCTATAGAAATACCTGCAAAATAACAAAAGGATATTTGATAAATAGAAATATTAAGATACTTTTTTTTTTAAAGAATCAACATTTTGGTGTTTGGCTCTCCTACTAAGTGGAGGTAGTAGAGCCTAATATGAAGATCAAAGGTGTGAGGATACAAAGAACTGGGTTCAAGTACCAGTTTTTCTGTTATTAGCTTGTTATTGTGAACAAGTTACCTATTTTCTCTGTGTCTCAGTTTTCTCATCTACAAAAGAGAGAGAATCACAGTTCTAACCCCAAGGAACTGTAAATGAGGTAACCTGGTAAAGCACTTAGCCCCCTGAGGAGCACACAAGAAGGGCCTATGCATCTAAATTATCATTGCCTAACCATCCCATAGTCACAAGCCAGCACTGTCAGCTGAATGGAGAGCTGCCCCTGGGAGATGCACTCAAGAATTTGCTGGTACCCAAAGCAGATGATAATTATAGGAGAAACAGATGATAATGTCATCTAAAAATACTCAGAATCCTGCCACAGGCAGCCTGTCAGCTCATACAGTGGGTTAGAGCGCATTCATTATGTTTCCCAAACAGACCAGGTAACTTGTTTCCATCCCACAGAAGCTACTCCTCTCTGTCTGGGGCACTGGACAACCCTCTAGCCTTTTATTAAAGGCAAGACTATAAAGAGAGCTGAGGAAATTCATTAAAGCACAGAAAAACCACCACTGAGCTGATGAAGAAAAAGCTTTTGTATAAAAAAAAAAAAAGACTCTAATTAATAAAAGCCTAAGCAACTCACCATTTTTTTTTCCAGATTACAGGTGAGAAAACAATTCAAAGTAATTCTTTCTCAGTGTTTTAGATATTTTAATGGCAGATAAGACCTTTGTGGGCACATATTGACTATGGACGATATCGGAAACTAAGTTTATAAAACAATAAAAGTTCCAGAAGCCCTTTAGTGAAACAAAAGAAAAAATGCCTCTTCTTACACCCCTAACAAATATAAAGAAACATTCCTTAACATATATCTAATGCTACATCAAGTTTAAAGAAGCCTTAACTGGGGATCCCTGGGTGGCGCAGCGGTTTGGCGCCTGCCTTTTGCCCAGGGCGCGATCCTGGAGACCCGGGATCGAGTCCCACGTCGGGCTCCCGGTGCGTGGAGCCTGCTTCTCCCTCTGCCTGTGTCTCTGCTTCTCTCTCTCTCTCTCTCTCTCTCTCTCTCTCTCTCTCTGTGACTATCATAAATAAATTTAAAAAAAATTTTTTTAAAGAATAAAATAAAGAAGCTTTAACTGCTTTGTTTAAAAAAGATTTCCTTTCATGATAATAAAATTTCATGATTCCCTGGAATAACATTCTGTTGCTACTCTGCCACTATTTAGCTGGGTGACATATCATTTCCCTCAGACCTGCATTCCTTACAAGTAAAATCCAAGGACAAGACCAGAGATTCCCTACAGTTGTTTTGAACTGTAAAATGTCATGTTTATGTATTTCCAAATGCAGTAAATCTTAATTATACAGTTGAAAACTACCAAAGTAAAAAGAAAAAAAAAACTATTGCAGTACAAGTTACATAAATAATCACATGAATCAGTCTTGCAAGGAACCAGTACCCTAATAAAACAACTCAAAGTAACTTAAAACATAAGGCAAGTGAGAGCCTACAGGTTGATGTGCTTCCTCTGCTTTCATTAAGTCCTCGTAGACTTCTCCACCTTCGTCCTCCCCATAAACACAGTCGTAGAGACCTTCTTCATCATCCACGTGCGTTTCACTAAAACAAAGGGTATGATACTCCGGTCATTTTCTATTATGCAGTAAATTCAATAGCTACAGCCTAGTAGGAAATCCAGGGAGGAAATAAAACAGGATTCACAGAAAGAGCAAAAGGTTTTACAGTTCTTTCCCTCCTAACCAGAACAATGCCCAAAAACGGAATCCACCAAAGACGGCAGTGACAACATGCCCTGGTATTTCCTATGTACATGCACACAGATGATCACTCTGCACACACGATCTCATGTGGTTGGCTCATGCCCAGTATTCACTGTGTTATCAAGCAGGCATTATTATTTAATCCGTTGTAGAGATATAGTAGGCGAAGAGAACTAAAGGTTATTTATTCGACTTGCCTGTGGAAACACAGCTAGTTCATGGCAGACCTGGATTTAAAACTGAGTCTGTCTTATGTTCTAAATGTTTTAATCACTCTATCCTACTGCCCTCATTTTTCCTATGGTAAGGCGTGGGATTGATCACTTAGATTAATGGGTATAAAGTGGGAAAGACAGGAGAGCTGAGGAGGATCTCAGAGTTTATAAATGGTCTTTTAAAAGCATCAATTTCTGCAGGGTTATTACTGCCAATACCTAACACAGTGGTTTTCCAACCATGCTCCTTCCAGCCCACTCAGAGGGTCTCCACAGGTTCCCCTGTTCAGTCAGATTCTACTATTATCTGTTTTGTCTGGATTCTGCTTACAGAAACAATCCCAAGCCCACAAGGCATTTTTAAATATCATTAGTAATCTGCTGGCCTCCTGACAGATGAAAACCATCTCTATTTTTAAAGTTCCCATGAGCACTTACCCAGTAACTGATGGATATATCTTCCCTAAACCCTTTGTAGGACATCAAAAACCCATTCAGTCAAAATAGAAATAGCTTATTCCACCTATCACATGTTCTGTTACTACTCAAGTTCTTCCTTTTAGTTCAAGATTTCTATAAATAGCCTCTATTATTAATAATCCAAAAGAATCAATATTTAAAAATTTAGACACATTAGAAAGAAGCATTAACATTTTTCAGAAAAGGAATTCAACTCCTTCAGTACTGCCAGCTCTTATCATCTTTTCTGGCCCTATGCATATAGATCATTATAAATTGATATGCACAAAACTAGAACTCTGTAACTGTAAATGTCACTCTACAACTAGGGTCCTCTGTCTAGGTTTGTCATGAAGGATTATTTGGAAGCATTTGATAGGAATGAACTATTTCAAAAACCCAGAAGAAAGAAAGGTGCCTTAAGGGAAAGTGACCTGCTGGTAGCAAACCCTGCTTTGAGGAAAAACTCTGCTTTGAGAAAAATTTGTTCTAGAGTTAGCTGTCCATCCACTCACGCAACAGACCATTTACCAAGAATCTATTGAAGTCCAGACTCTTTGGTACTAAGAATGCTTGGATCAAGAAGATCCAAGGACTCTCCCAGTCTAGTGTAGAAAACAGAGCAGATGAATGCAGAATGTAGAAGCCAGGGAAAGAGTAACTCTGAATAAGGAAGTCAGGGAAGGTTTCACAACAGATATTACATCTGAACTGGATCTTGAATTTATTTATCACCTTATTCAATAGATATTTGCTAAATAAATACCACTATGTTCTAGGAGATATGGTTGCAGACTTGGCAGACAGAGTTGCTGCTGTCAGAGGTGATGTACTCAGTGGAAAAAAGGGGGAAGAACATTCCAAACAAAAGACATCAACACGTGCAAAGGCAGAAGATGTGAAAAGCCCAGCAATGTCAAGAGTGGTGTCCCATCCAGGCAACTCAATGTGAGCCCCAGAGGGAAGAGCTAAAAATCAACCTGTGAAAGGCAGTACACCCTGTAAGCTCAACCTCATGTGGGCATGTGGGATGCAAGAGGTTTTTATATGGGGGTAGAGTGGAGGCAACAAGAAGACATAACTCCAGAAATGAAACCCTGTGGGTAAGAGATACTGACAGCCATAACTAAAGACAAATGAGGAGAGAAACAGAGACTTCAGAGACTGTGTCAGGTGCAGTCAACCAGACTTGGTGACCAATCAGAATTAGAGAGAGAGGGGAAAGGAGTGAAGGAAGCCACTCAGCTTCCTACTTTGTAAAACCAGGCAGATGGCAAGTCATTAGGCAATTCCAGAATTTCCATACTGAGGGGTTTAAGGAGGCAATCCAACCAGAGGACAGGGGGGAGTTGAACCAGTCTGGACACTTTCTAGAACCCATCAAAGGATAGGAAGATTTGATGAGTCCATGAGGGAGCAGAGATAAGAAATTATGCCAGAACAGGCTCTGGAGCAGAGGGGATCCCATTCAATAAGAAGTTAGGCTGTGAAATCCATTTCTCTGCTACTCCTAATGCCAGCTCCATGGTCTCTGACCACCACCTCCACCTGTGGAAAAACATCTTGCTGAAGTGTTGCTTTTGACTATTTCCCATGAGAGTAGAGGTACATTCTGTATGAATACATACAGATTTTTCTTTTAGCATTCTAGGAGATAGTGCACCTAAAGTACAAGCAACAAGATCAAAAATAAACAAGGTGGACTACATCAAACTAGAAAGTTCCTGACAGCAAAAGAAACCATCAACAAAGGGAAAAGACAACCTATGTATGGAATGGGGGAAAAAATGTTTACAAACCATCTATTTGATAAGGTGTTAGTATCCAAAATATTTGAAGAACTAATACAACTCATACAAAAACAACAAAATAACGCAATTAAAAAATAGGCAAAGAACCTAAATAGACATTTCTCCAAAGAATATATAGAACAGAACAACAGGTATGTGAAAAGATGCTCAACATCACTAATCATTATGAAAACGCAACTTAAAACTCACGAGATATCACCCCATGCCTGTTAGAATGCCCACCATCAAAAGACAAGAGATAAATCTTAGCAAAGATATGGAGAAAAGGGACCCCTTGTGCATTGTTGGTGGGACTGTATATGGGTGTAGTCACTGTGGAAAACAATATGGAACTTCCTCAAAAAATTAAAAATAGAAATACCATATGATCCAGGAATTACATTTCTCGGAATATATCCAAAGGAAACAAAAACACTAACTCAAAATGAGATCTGCACCATCATGTTCAGAATAGCATGACCAAGACATGAACGCAACCTAAGTGACCACTGACGGATGAATGGATAAAGAAATTGTGATATGTATATACACACAATGGAATATGATTCAGTATTTCTACCATCTGCAATAACATCGATGGACCATGAGGGCATTATGCTGAGTGGAAATAAGACCAAGAAAGACAAACACTGTGTGATCTCACTTACATGTGGAATCTAAAAACAAAAAAATAGGAGCACCTGGGTGGCTCAGTCGGTTAGGCATCTACCTTCAGCTCAGATCATGATCTCTTGGTCCTGGGAGCCCCATGTCAGCCTTCCCCCTCAGTGGGGAGCCTGCTTCTCCTTCTCCCTCTGCCTCTGCCTCTGCTTCTACCTCTGCCCCTCCCCCTGTTTGTGCTCTCTCGCTCTGCCAAATAAATAAAATCTTACCAAAAAAAGGCAAAGCCAGAAAACCTCATAGTAAAAGAGATCAGACTTGATATCAGAGATGGGGGGTGGATAAGTGGGGGAAGGTCATTAAAAGGTACAAACTTCTAGCAGTCAGGTAGATAAGGACTAGGGATCGAATGTATGACACAATGACTACAGCTAACACTGTGCACGGTATACAGAAAGTTGTTACAACAGTAAATCTTAAGAGTTCTCATTACAAGGAGAATTTCTTAAAATCTTTTCTTCTTTAATTGTATCTAGACAGAAGGAATAGAGGTTAGCTGACCCTACTGTGGTAATCATTTCATAATATATACAAATAATACCATTAGGCTGTATTCCTTAAACTTACTCAAGGATGTATGTCAATTATTTCTCAATAAGCTGGAAAAATGTCTTTTTTAAATTTTTTTTATTTATTTACGATAGTCATACAGAGAGAGAGAGAGAGAGGCAGAGACACAGGCAGAGGGAGAAGCAGGCTCCATGAACCGGGAGCCTGACGTGGGATTCGATCCCGGGATTCCAGGATCGCGCCCTGGGCCAAAGGCAGGCGCCAAACCGCTGCGCCACCCAGGGATCCCTGGAAAAATGTCTTTAAAAAAGAATTGTAGGAGTGACACACATGCCTGTGTGTACGCACGGATGAACACCCACACCCAAGATTGGGCTAAAATGCTTTGGTTTTGTTATTCAATCCCATACAAAGGAGGAAGATTTTCTTGCTAAAAGTTTGATCAAGAATTTTTTTTTTTTAAGATTTCATTTATTTACTTGACAGAGAGAGAGAAAGAGCACAAGCAGGGAGAGTGGCAGAGGGAGAGGGAGAAGTAGGCTCCCTGTTGAGCAGGGAGCCCAATGTGGGGCCTGATCCCAGGACCTGATCATGACCTGAGCTGAAGGCAGACACTTAACCAACTGAGCCACCCAGCACCCTACTCAAGAATTCCTGATCCACATAAAATGAAGTGGGGGCGGGGACTGGGGGAGAAGGGAAGGATGACTGATTCTTCACATGGTCAACAAACCAACAATAATCTATATTACTTTTTCTGTGTCCAGCTCATCTATATATGGGCATGACTGCACCCTGATCATAAATATAGAAAAAGCAGACACTGTGCAGCCTAACCATCTCACATCCTTTGTTGCATCCTGTGTCTGTTTCTCTCCACATGAGAACGGAATGATCCCCTCTGCAGTAGGGAGCAGGCCAGTGTTGGTTCTAGGGGCTTCCTTTGGGGTGGTTTCACCCCCAAAAGTCCGAGTTAAGGATATGAGCCCAGAGATCATAACAAAGCTAAGACTGAAAATCAAGGTGTCATAGCAAACTCAGAAGCAAGCACTTGCAGAAATAACACCGCATTTGGACCTTCCACCACCAGATGGAGACTTGAAACAGGCTGCATCTCCCAGAGCGTGAGCAGGTGTCTCAGAGCAGCTGACTCAGGAGCCCAGATTTCTCCAAATTTAGCAAGGGTTGCATTCTCACAGGATTTATCCTGACATCGACACAACACGATGAGGGCAAGCTACGAAACTTAGTAGGTGTAAACAATTGGTGGGGCTTAAAAAAAGGAACGTAATAGCTCTAGAAGTAATATATTCTTTTTCTTAAGATTTTATTTTACTTACTTGAGAGAAAGAAAGTGAGTCTGAGTCAGGAGAAGGAACAAAGGGAGAGGGAGAGAGAAAGAATCTCAAACAGACTCTGTGCTGAGCATGGAGCCCAATGCAGGGCTTGATCTCACAACCCTGAGATCATGACCTGAGCTGAAATCAAGAGTCAGATGCTTGACCAACTGAACCACTCAGGCACCCCTAGAAATAATATATTCTTCTTAATATTTCAAAGGATTTGGTTATGTTACCAGTAACCTTACAGTCACTTTATGAAGACTGTAGCCAATTCAGTGAGATGATCAGTATCAATCTTGCTCGAAATCAGGTTTTAAGAACAGCTAAGAAACTGTCCTTCATCAACATTTAAAACATAAGACTTTGAGACCCATCCAAGTGCCACTTATTCTGGGATGGGCTGGTGGCCATCCTGCCAGCATTCTCCTCTGCTCTTCTACTGAAGTTCTCAGAGGGGCAATTTAGCCTGCTTCCAGGGGTCGATACAGTGAGGAAAAGCCTCAGCTCTGGAGTAAGAACTGCATTCAAATCTGTAGACTAAAATTTACTAGCTATATGACCTACAACAAGTTTCTTAGCTTTCCACGAGTCAGTTTTCTCCTTCATAAATTGGGATAATAGGAACAACCTAATCATGTTGTGATTAAGACACAAGGCAATGTGTTGAACATAGCACACAAACAGGCACTCAGTGAGCTCGTACGAATGATTAGACAGCTCAGGCCTGAAGCATAAGGCTGCCAAACAGGAGATGCTTAATGCAATTTTGCTTAATCATTCAGAAAACAAATATTTACCAAGGGCCTAGCATACACCAAATGCTATGTAAAGTTCTAGGAACAAGGTGAAGTTCCCTGGCCTCACAAAGCTGACCTTCTAAAGAGGAAATAGGGAATAAAGGAAACAAACAAAGACTGTCTCAGGCAGTAGTGAGTGCCATAAAGCCACAGAGCAAGGTAAGGGGCCGGCAGCAATTTCAGATTAGTCAGGAAGGCCCGTCCACGGAGGGACGTCGGAGGAAATGTTGGAACGGTGAGTGACCAGCCGTAAGGGCAGGAGGAGCAAATGCAAAAGTCCTACAGCAAGAACGAGCTTAGAGTGCTGGTGTATTAGGATGGATGAACAGATGAATTTCCACAGAACCTGAATCTCTTTTGGAGCATGATCTATTTCTTATTATAATTCTTTGCAAACATGCCTGATCTTTTTCATCAGTTCCTTAAGGGGTGGGGATCATTTTTTTATATTTCTTTGTAATCTGCACAAGTCATCAATCAGCAGAAAATAATCAGGTGCAAGGGCCTTTTGCCTCTCCTGACTCTTAAATAATAAAGCCCAAAAGGATTCTCTGTGCAAAACAAACAGCATCTAATGAAACTCCCAGAAGAACTCCAGCCCACACTCATCTCGTCTTTCCTTGAACTTTACAGACCATGCACTGCCCTGCCCTCAACTCCAGTAGCAGCTCTGCTTTCTTTGTCACTGGTTCCTTAACTGTCTAATTCTAATTTCACCCTCCACCTCTAGTATGTCTCTGAGAAACTCCCAATTTTTCCTTCATTGCCGTCTGTTCCCTCACTCGCCACAGGGAGCGGCATGGTGTGGGGCACGCAACAGGAACTAAAGTCAGATGAAGTACATTTTCTTGTGAAGCTTTCCATCACTAGTTTCAGGTGAATTCTTACACGTCTTAATCATTAAGCCACTTTTCTGCTTCAGAAAGCTATTTTAACATCTATGGTTAAAATCCATAAAGGATGCAAACATTGGCAGTGGTTTAATTTTGCTGAAGATGCCCAACGTACTCTATTAAATCAGGAAGGCCTTTGTAGATGTCTTCATCACTAACGCTCTCTTCTGTGGGGAAGGGCCTAGAAGAGAGAAAGGAAAAAAAAAAAAAGATGAATAAGCAACCATTAGGCTAGGCATTTAGCTCTCACTAAATGCATAAGGTCAGCTGCTGGCACCGTGATTAGAGCAGGCATCATGTTTAACACAACGTCCCGGGCTTCTCCCAAAGTGCCCATCCTGTGGCCGTGCATGGGATCGCCCAGGGACACTGGCACCTGCTACCGCAAATTATGGGTAGCATTACCGGTGGTTGCTGCAGTCGCCAGAGCAGCTGTGGACATGCTAATATGCTCATCTGGCCACACACGGCTCACCTGCAGGCTCACCATGCAGCAGCCACTGTAGCTCCCAGTCCAGCAAACAGGCAACCGCCCAAGTGTCCCTGCCTTCAGCACTGTCTCTCTCCACTTATGGAATCTGATCTGACAAAGAGTTTGGTAACAATCATCCTTGCATGACTCAGCCCACTAAATATAGATAAAAATTATTTGAAGACCAAAACATCCATGCCCTTTATATATGATTATTGATTCTGGCAGACTTTTCTACTCGGACTTCAAAATATTTAAGGTGTAGTTTTTATTTTCATATATTAGACGAATGAGTGAACCCAGACCTTAGGGAGGGTAGGATGTTTTCTTTGTTCCCAATTAAAAGAAAAGCACTTTAATTGATCCCCTTTTCCTAGCCTTTGGCTTTTTTGCCTAATGTACTATGCACTCTTTTCATAATCCCAACATAATTCCCTAAATGCATATCTAACACAACCATAATTATACTATTGTGCCAGAAATTTTACTTTCTTTATATGCAGTCAGTGTGTCATGTTTCATAAAAATAAGATCTATCAAAATAATAAATGAGCACTAAGTAATTGCTAAATAATTATATTCAATATATTGAAAAGCAGATTTTCGTATTTATGGATTAACTGAATACTTAAGACATTTAAGGAATTTATATTTTTCAAATAAATTAAAATGCATGAGAAATGCTGAAGTTTCAAAGTCTTTTTTTTCTTAAATTCAGGCACATTTGATTATACTCTTATACCAATGCAATCCATTATATAAAAATTTGAAAATACAGATAATAATTATTAAAAAGGAAAACTTTCTAATGTATATCCTTTCAGAATCAAAAATACATAAATACATAAAAATAGAATCCAGCTATTTCAAAATTTGTGGTTTACATGTAATGGCATAAAATATATACTAATATGGAAAGATGAATCATGTAGAGCAAATTACAAGGTGCTGGACACATATCCAGCCTTGAGATTACTTCTGTAGAAAGCTGCCAAATTCATAGCCCATTTCCAAGAACTGATCTGCACAGTATCCCCCCTGGGGTCACTGTGCTGTATATCCAGGAATGGGCTGCCTGGACACAGTCAATCAGCCCTGTAACATGTGCTTATGTCTTCTCCCTTAAATTATGAATGTAAGCTGGACACAGAAAAATGGAAGCAACAGAGGGAGAGACATGACATCACAGAACTCCATAATGGCTGGAGACTGAGGTATGGAGCCCTGAAGAAACCAGACAAACAACGAAATCCATTCAATTTCCAGGCAGCCTAGCTGTATGGCTACTGAAACTGTTGCTCTGTTTTTCTAATGTTACTAAAATACAAACTTCTGAGTATGTAGTATGTTAAAGAGAAAAAGCCCAACAAAACATACGTGTCTACATTTATTTCCATACTTACTGACTGCATAATACTCCACAGCATGGAGATGTCATAATTAACTTACTCGATTTACTTGCAAGTTTACTTCCAAATCATAATTACTTACTCAATTTACTTCATTTAGTACTAATCCTTCAACACACAGCCTTGTATACATTTTATACTTGCTTGATTACTTTTTAAACTCCTAAAGTTGTGAGGTATTGTTATGGACTATAGGAAATAAATGTACAAAAGCTTTTCAAGTATTTACTTGAGCATCTGTGGTTTTTTGATGAATCATATGTAATGAAATGAAATGTTGGAGGAAGTTAAGAAAACAAAGTACCCCATCAGTAAGTCAGTGCTGAACTGAGAATGATGTTTAGCCAATGTATCTTATTCAACTCTACAAATAAGGTTCTTACTTGCTCTATTAATTTCAAATGCATATTAGGCACTTATACATCAGTCACTGTACATGCATGAATGAGACACGGTCCCTGCACGCAAAGTGTTTTTACTAACAGTAACCATTCAATAAGTAACCATTACATTGAAGGAATGGAACACATGAACCACAGAGAAATGAGCTTACCTGATTCCTGTGGCCAAAGCTATCGGTGTGCGAGAAAGTCGTGACAGTGTTTCTATAACCTAAGAAAAAAGAAAAAGTGTTAATTGGACATGTGTTTAAGGTAAGAATGTTTTTTGAAAATGGTTTTATAACCTAACAGAAAAATGGCAGCAGAAACCTAAATTTGAGGACACCAACACAAAATACAGAAAAGAGCTGTTTCTGAGAATTATAACCACCTGGATTATTTATAATCATGTCCCTTCGTTAACTTTGTAACTCCACACAGATTACTAACATCAGTTTTGCAGTTTCCTTATCACCAAAGCAAAGAGTTATGGTAATTCTAGAGGTCTTGTACCTCCACTTCTACAGAATCTGAAAGGTCTTGTAAAGCTGCACTATCCAAAACAGAAGCCACTGGCCACAGGAGCCTATTTAAATTTAAATTAATTAAAATTAAAATAACAAAAAATTAAGTTTCTTAGTTGTGCAAGCCACATTTCAAAAGCTCAGTAGCCATATGTGGCTGGTGGCTACTGTACTGTACTACGGACACATCAGACATTTCCACCATCACAGAGAGTCCTACTGGGCAGCACTGCTATATAGCTAAGTGGTTTAGAATGTGGGCTCTTTAGCCAGACCACAGTTCAAATCCTGGCTTTACCTTTCATTAGCCATATAACCTGAAGCAAATTGCTTAAGTTCCCTGGGCTTCGGTTTTCTTATCTGGATACTGCCTATAATCATAGGTAGCTTATTAATCATCTCAATTATTAAAATTAAAAATATAATACACATATTTAAGTATTACTTATTTAAATGATAGCTATTCTTTGTTATTGCCAACTTTAAGAAAATTACCTTATTATAATTCTGAGTATTTGCAGAAAAAGAACTTCCTTAACCCGTGCTTACCTGTACATAACTTAAAGATTACTTATGAAGACTTCAGTACCTAAGCCCTGCTATAGTTTTACCTTTTAAACCTAAGGATTTTACCCTCCCTTACCACTTTTATTTTTATTTATCTTTAAAGATTTTATTTCTTTATTCATGAGAGACACAGATAGAAGCAGAGACAGGCAGAAGGAGAAATAGGCTCCCTGTGGGAAGCCCTATTAGGAACTCGACCCCAGGACCCCGGGATCCCCACCTGAGCCAAAGGCAGACACTCAATCACTGAGCTACCCAGGCACCCCGGTTCCTTACCACTTTGGACCTAAGTTCATCTCTCTCAAAGACTTAATGAGGAACCCTAAGAACTAAAATGTACTTTTCTCATAAAGCCTGTTTCTCCGGTAACCGATTTGATTTGTCCTAACTCTCAAAACTAAACAAAACTTAAAGAGGTTCTTCTATAAGGCCTATTCAGAACAAGGGGGGAAAATGCAAAAATATCCCTCTGAGCTGAGATGAACTGAAGAATTCAGTTCAAACACAGAAACATAATATCGAGGTCTTCAGCACTCCACAGAAGTCTCATACAAGTATAAACCTCATACTCACCTATCTCTTGCCTACTTCAGGAGATAGTATTATTGCTTAAGTTATAAACATACAGCTCTGGAGCAAGGATATGTGGTTGAGCTTTGGTTCATCAGATTTCAGCTAAGCTCACTTTTACTAGCCTCTATAAAATGTGGATAACAAAAACTAACTACCAGCCTCATGGAGTTACTGAAAAAATTAAATGAGATAATGCTTAACTCAATAAATGTAAACTTTCATTATATAAAATTATCATTATATACAAATAAAATTTAATTGAAAGACTACACAATTTCTTCCTGGTTTAACCTTGTGGAACATTTGAACTGAAAGCAAGACACAACCACCTAGATAAAACTAGATATCAATTAATTCCCCATACTAAAAATAAAAGTATCTTCAGTGAGTCTGTAAATTTAGAAGATCATGAATGAATAAGTTTATCAATATAACTTGATTCAAAATAAAAATAACTATTTACTAAAATTCCAAAATTATGCATTACTGAGAGAAATGTCCAGCTTTTGGAAGATTCTGGAATAATCTGTGTAGTACTTAGACTCATGAATTAAAGATACTGTTGCATTTCAGCATTAGCCTTACCCGGATGGGCACTGCGTTAAAGCTGTGGGGGGAAATCTGATTCTATTTTGCCCAATGGTCCCAGCATTGCCGTTACTCAGAAGAAAAACAGCAATAACATTAGTATGACGTAATTTACTACTATGCTGTATTTTACTGCTGCTATTTTATATTTTAACAGAAATATGGTTTATTCTTGGGTATATTATCTATAATAACTAGGATATATGTAAAGGTAAGAATGTATTTTGCATTCCTTTTCCCAGCAACAATCAGAACTATTCACTACCCATCCCCATTCAAGACTGCAGTTTGATTTTTTTGGTATAATAAATTATCCACCAGAGGGAGCTAGAAGATAGTATATCACTTTGGTCCTACATTAACTGTGTCTTATGAAGTACAAACATTTCTGAAATTCAACAAGATGAAACCAATTCCTATTATTTATTTAAAACCATTACTTATTACCATTCAGTAATAGAAAAATAATGAAGGTTCAGATTCAGTGGATGAAAAGGATGGAAGAATAATGCGTAGCATGTCTTAAAGTGACTCTCAGGACAATCTCTCAGTTTTGTGTCTATCCAATTGTACATCCATTAACTCTAAGTTTAGCCAAAGCAAATAAGACTGTTTAGTCAATGTAGTGTTTTTAGAACAGTGTGTATTCTATAAAGGTGGAGCATATCCGGATTTGGAATAGACAAATACACAAATTAATGCCAGATTCTCCAGACATGAGAGACATGCATTCAAGAATATTTACAAAAGAAAATATCCCCAAGGACAGTAAAAGACTATTTTCCCTGAAATGTATTAATTTCTAAATTGTTACGTCAACATAATTTGAAATTACAGACATGAACTCTTACAAAGAGGTAACTATTCAGGACATTTGCAAGTTAGCAGGCCAACAACCAAATCCATATTACAGATATTTTACCTACATCTACCCCTTGTTTAATAAGGAAGAGTAGCATTTGTAAAAAAAAATGAAAATATTTCCAGATAATATAAATGACAGTTACTTTGGAAGGAAAGTGTTAAGAGGTAAGTAGGGCTGGGTACGCTTGCTTTAGAAGGGGGGATTAGATCCCAGGATCTATGGAGGATCATTGACAGAGTTTTAAAAGGAACATACCCAGGTCAAAAGTGTGTTTTTAGAAGATCATTCAGCACAGTGAAGGATAGATGGGAGTAGAGGGCATGGGGTATAGACAAAGGGCCAGACAAGAAAACCAGGGGGTTTTCTGAATCTTCCAGTTGAGAAATGAGAAGTCTATGCCAGCAGCAGCAGAGATAGAGAAGAAGTGGAATTGTGAGAAGTACTTAGGCACAGTGGCTGATGCGCCAGAGAGGCAAAGTGAAGAACCCAGGATGACCAGTGCAAACCTTTAAATAATGCATGGAGGTGGCCAGCTCCAATGCCACCTACTGGGATGCTCCTGAGTAGGATGCTCTCTTTCTCTCTCTGTCCCTCTGCGTGGCTGACCATGTACAATCTGAATTCTGACAGGTCATTCCCCTCCACCAGAGCCTTCTCTGACATCTCCCACTCCAGTTTAGGTCCTTCGTGTTCCTGTTAGGACATAACTCTGCCCTAGTACCCATCAACTTATTTAAAAATGTATTTGCTGTTTAAAATATCTGAAAATGACTCATGTTTATTTTGTTAAACTAAAATAACATAGTAATAATACACAAAATTTGTCCCCACCATACACACACCTTCTGCCTAATGGAGATCCGAGCTAAAGATCTGGTGTGACTCCTGCAAACATTTGTTCACTTTTCTTCATGATTGTTATTTTAGGTAACATGTTCCTATCATACAGATTTTTCTAAAACGTGAGTCTGTCACCTAACAATATATCCTAGACAGTTGTTGTCAACACATTCAGATCTACTTCATTCACCTTAATGTTGTACAACATTTCAGTGTATGCAAATAACATAATGATTTAACTATTCTCCAGCCAATGAGCTTTTTCAACATTTTGCTACAAGAACAATGATGAAAATTACCATCCTTGACAATTATCTTTTCAATTGTATCTAGGTTATTTCTATAGAAAAGATTCTCAGATGGGATGAAGAGGTCCAAAGTATGACCACTGCTCTTTGAAACTTTTTACAAATTTATACTCCCGTAAGGAGTGTATTAAGAATATAACAAGGCATTCTACTGATCTATTTACTGTCTTTCCCATCCAACGAGGAACACCTTACATTACATAACTCCAACTGTTTCTCTCCACTGTTCTTTCTTACCACCTAGCTCACAGGCAGAGTCATAACAACCACTTAACACAAAAATATTTGTTGCTCCAATGAATAATACTTACCATTCAAAACTGTTGTGAGGACTGGGGATAATATGTGTAAAGATACGTAAAGAGCTTAGCCTGGCACAAGCAGGGAATGAATGAATAATTGAAGAAGGAGACTATTATGAAAATTAAATATTAAATATGAGAAAGAATTACCTATCTCCTTAAACCTAGAAACACTATACATAGTGACAATACCCCCTATCAAATTTTCCCCCAATGGTGGTTACAATTTAGTTTGAGCTCTTTATTTTATTTTCACCATCCCCATTAGTCGGTTGAAAAGCCAAAAAGAGAAAAAAATTTTCCAAAAAGAGAACTCTACACTAATAAAGCTACCCACGTTAACCATTCTCTTCACGGAATCTTCTAGAAAATTCCTACTTTCTGCATATCCAGCATTCGTGCTGTTGATAATGTAATTTGTAATTAAAACAAGTCATCCATGCAGAAGCAGTATGTTACAGCTACTTCTAAGTTTCTGAGTTAAGGAAGCCATGGCCATAGACAGTAACAGCAGAGAACCATAGGAATCAGCACACAGGTCTGCCAAAAAGTGCTAATTAATTGTGGATTTATCTCCTTGAGTTCTCTATCGTGAAGATTTACCTCTCAGTCCTCTCCCTGATCCAATGGAAAGGCTATCACTAAGATTCATGAACAGGGAGCTG